GAAAATAATTTTCATTTTATAGGTGACTTCTTACTTTATAAATCAATGGCACAAATAATTTCAACTATCCTGTCCAAGAGACGGAAATGATTACACGAGCGTGATGTGTAATTTCAAACAACGGAGGACTGACTGGTTATTCTTCTGCACCACTCAGTACGACCTTCTGAGAAACGACCCTTGAGAAGAAACAGCCAGACTCCGGCGTCTGTGTACCAAGAGTGACACAGCTTGTTCACCTGCAGGCTTGTCACCAGCCGATTAACAAGGTAACATTCTGACTCAAAAAGGCTCATCACGCCATTATAAGAGTAAGGATTTTCTGCCTCAAAAGGGAAATGCTCTGTTTGGGAGAAACATAAAAATCCATTCATTATGAACAGCCTGAATATTCATTAGGATTCAAAACTACAGAGGATGCTAAGAACTTGTTGAGAAAAAGAAAAGGCTGTTTGTTCTTCACTGAATAAAATGGATGATGTGAGGCCCTCACCCCTCTTCTGGCTCTCAGTGGAAGATTTCCTTGGCCTTAAAAGACCCCAAACTTTCGGTGTCACATTTTACTTCTACACTGAGTTCTCACATGCTACTGTGCCAAAAGCTAAACCTTAAAATTGGGGGGGAGGAGGGGGGGTAGAGCTTCTAAAATAAACAGAAATTGATCTTACAAAGTGAAGAAAGTGGGTTCCCACTTCTTGTTGAGCGTTAGGTTCTGGATGCAGGCATTCTTCCACGACTTTTAAAAATTCCTTAGGTACAGCAAGGATATCTTCAATGTTAGAGAATAGCATCTACAAATAAATATAAAAAGTGCAATAGTGAAGCAGGTCAAACAAAAGTCCATGAGAGGATAGTATTCTCTTTCCAAGCTGAAAATTTCAGGGCATGCACCCACCCAGAGGGCAGAGGACCAATTTTGTCTGAACATCCTTTCTACTCCTACACAGCTCTGGGAACCAGGAACCCATGCCTGGCTCTCAGGAAAAGCCCAAGTGACTAAATCCAAGCGTGACAGTCCCCAACCCATTAGTGAGAATGGGCAGCAGGTAACAGAGTGCAGGCAGATTTGCTGGCAGGCTTTTGGGGGCAAAGGCTTCTTTGATCTCTGGAATGGCATCCTGGAATGGACAGCTTCCCCTCTGGAAAGGTACTATGTCTGGAAGTGATAGCTTGGACAGCTACAAGGTCATTTTGCAGGGATGAGAGGAGCCAGCCCTGGAGCAAAGCGGATAACCTGGATGGCAAAGTGAAGAGCTAGACAGAAGCTGGCAATCTTATTGACCTCCCTGAGTCACAGGTCCTGAACCTTCTCTTCTGTCTGGAGTCCCCAAATGAGAGCTGAAGTGTCTTCAAGGCATTTGAATAGTAAGTGTCTTTTGCTTGCAACCTAAGCACACAAACTAAAATGCTCCCATGTAAGAGAATTTGAAAGTTCGTTTTTAATTTATGAAAAAATAGTCAGAAGAGCCTATAAAAATCCTTGGGAATTTTTCTTTTTTTTTTGGTAAAATAAAATAGCAAATCAGCACCAAAAATAAACATCAATAATAATTTAGGCAGCTTAAATGAATAATAACAGTGGTACAATTAATTTTCATTTACCTCCTCCCCCATTACAAAACTCTTCATCATTTTCCCTTCCTGCAGCTTAAAAGGAAAGGCTTATACATGTGTTTCCGAGTTGAAGACATTACGCAGACATTTTCTGCACCACGGAACCACCCAAATCACTTACTCTTTGGTGACCAAAGATCAGAAGTCACATTTGTCCACATCTTGCCTTCCTAAGCCACCTCTGGCAATGATCCCACTTAGGGCTCTGTTCCCCCCTGCTCGCAGACACTGAAGTTCTTGGTCGGGGGTTTGTTTTTCTTCCTCTTTTCAAACTGTCCAAAGGCTTCAACAAAAAATTGTTCCATGTCTTTTTTGCCATCCTCATCACTCTCTGTTTCTTTTCCCAAACCCTCTTTCCCTTTATCTCAGGGTCGCCCACACAAGTGACTGGTGCAGAACTTATAGTGGAACTGAGGAGAAGCTGAAAAGCCTAGAGTAACATCCCACAGAAGAAATTTTAACTAAAAGGGAATGTATGCTTGGGTTGAGGGCCGACTGTGCCTCCTCACCTTCACTGTTTCTTCTGTTACATTTTTATCAATTTTTGATGCAGCACACGGTTTCATTCGGTGTAAGAATGCCTCCATGAAACGAACAAAAAAAAGATATTGTGAAGGCAACATTAGGTTAATATAATAACAGGGTGTTGATTAGAACTAAATTTTTTATAGGAAACCAGAGTTTAAAAACCCAATAACTACTGAGAATAATAGTTTTGTTGTAAAAGGTGAAACCCTGGTTCACAGTGATTTCTCCCTGGGAATTACATCCTTCAGAATTTGGGCACAAGACCAAAAGTGATCATGTATATATGAACTAAATTTACCCAACACGATCTCAATGTTCTGTGGTAAACAGTTAGGAGTCAAATGTTTCCCAAACTTCTAAGTCTTGTGAGGCACAAAACACCAAAATCTAATGAAAAATGGGACTTCTGATTTAAAAAGGGGGAGGGGTCAGAAATTCCAAGGTGATCCTTTGGAACTGAGAAAGACTGAGGGAAGGAAGTAGGGAGTCAAAGATAGAAAGAGAATGAAAGAGAAAGAGAGAAAGAAAGTGACTCTCCAAGAAGGAATGAAACGATTTCCCTTCCCTTCCTAACTACCCCCTACTAAGTTTTAGAAAGCCAGATTTTGTATTTCTGGGATCAGGTCAGGGCTCTCCAAAGCCCTATGGTAGGCAAAAAAGTTCCTTAGTATCTCAAAAATCTGGACTCTCCTTAATAAGTCATTAATTAAGCTTGGACCCATGACCAAGTAAGCTATTATTTTT